TCTCTTTTTTGTTGCCTCACAAATTGATTTGGTATGTGAAGACGGATAATTGGTTTTTGAGCGACCATAGAAAAGCTTTCACGGACAGTCTGACGCACGCTATAAGTAGGTTTTATTAACAACTCAATTAGGGCGCCCTATTGGCAGCCAATTGGAATTTTTTAGATATACATATATATTGTATATAGAGATATATATGTGAGGATAGAGTTAGAATTTGCAAATAGTCATTAATTGAGCTTTAATTACAAAACATGCTAAACTAATTTATTGCATTATAAATATTGCATAATGTATATAAAAATACAAATATATATAAAAAATAATTAAGATACTTCTTTAAATTGGTATATTTTAGTTAAAAAAAACTACCGTTTGTATACTCGCTTTCATATCCTAATTCGAAGCAACTTATTTTTTCCCCAGTTCATTAAGCTACTGAGCTGAATTGTAAAATACAGCTTCGTTTCTATCAGCTCTGATGATATTCTTCCAGTTTTCATTATAATACATTTATGTGCTATAAATTTTGCATATATTACGCACATGTTCTCAACGGCTTTAAGATACAATTTAAAGATTTCATGAATTTTTTATGAACAGATCTAGAGGGGAATTAAAGATTAAATAATATCTTAACATAATCTGATGATAAAAACCTTTCAGTATAAACTGCATTTATATAATCAGAATAAATTAATATTATTATCACTTAAAGGTATGAAGCTTTAGCTAGTATGAGTCTCAGCTCAAAAAATGCATTAATAGCTGACTGGAATTCGATCCATGTTTGGTAGTCTAATAGCACTTATATACCCTATATCCAATGCATTATTATTTCAAATCTTTTGTGTTAAATGGGAACACGCAACCTCACCCAAAAAGGCAAAAATCAATCAATTTTTTAGTGCTCATTAAATGCATATTAAAGCAATCATAAACAAATCGCATCCGCTAATTTTAAACTATAAATACAAGAAACATCTTTTCGATATCTACAAACATTAATACCATCGCATGTTATAGGAGGAAAGAAGTAATTTTCAAAAGTTTGTAGTTCACAATCGAAACATATTTTCAGAGACATGTGCCAAATTGTTTTTATCGCTGCCATTAGAATAACTGTTGTTTGCGAATCGGGAATAGTATTACTCATAAAAAGAAGAAGAAGAATCATAATTAGGTATAGAAGTGGAGTGTGCGTGCGAATTGATCAGCTGATTCATTGGCGAGTTCTATAAAGATTTTCACAGCTTTCTCTAGGTGTCAAGTTGAATGAACATGCTAAGAAAACATAATTGTCCGCATGTGTGTGCGTGAGTGTATGTGTTGAGTGCGTGTATGTGTGTGTGTGCGTCTGGGAAGAAGTTAACTACTATTGCATTTGGCTCATTGCGTCGCACGTATACTGTATGACTAATCAATATAGAGAGCAAGACAGAGACAGACTGCGTGACAGACAGAGAGACAGATAGATAAAGACTCTCTGGGAGAAGCTACGCTTGGGCGAGTTTCACAAGCTTCGCGACCCGCATATAAGAGCTTTGCGTATGAGTTTTTACGATCGTACGAATTGTATTTGCATTTATATTGAATGTGTGTTTATATATATATATATGTGTGTGTGTGTGTGTGTGATCAGCAAATGCCAAACAATGTGAGTCACGATAATCAGCGTTGAGCACACCGCAAACACGTCTCGCAATATTCACAGTACGCTCATAAGCGCGAGGGTGGAAAAGGGAATAAATGTATAGAAATTACTAAATGTACATCATAAAATATATATTTTCAAAAAATRTTTATAAACGAAGTATTACAATCAAGTAAAGTAAAATA